ATGGATACGGCTTGCTGGATGGATAATTCCAAACTACTTATTCGGTTTGGTTCTGCGGATCGTTTTCTTTTGATCTGCCAGCTATTTATATTTGTCAGCTTTTCTTTTTTTACTGCTGCTTGTGTGTGGGAGTGCTTCTTATTTCTTATTTCTTGTGGCTGTTCTCGGAAATGAGTGACCAGTTGATCCGCCTGCGGTTCGCCAATTGATCGCGCGTGCACAGAAATCGTCGTCCGATAGTCGCAGTCGCTCACACTTTCACAGACTCACTAGAACTAATTTCGAAAAGCTGTGGTGTTGTTTTTGTGGCCAGGCCCCAGCCAGGCAGCGAGCGTCGGCCGCGCAGCAGCAGCGACGGCCCCACGATGAGCAGAGAGCGCCAAAGAGAGAGAGAGATCAGCAGCTGAGCAGACCCAAACCCAAACAAGAGAAACACTGAAAACTGGCTGCGATCGCTTGCTGCGCCGCTGTCTCTGTCTTGGCTGCAGTGAAATGATAAATTTCTCTACACTCTGCAGCTCCGATGAGCCGTCGCGTCGTTTCGGGGATCGGTCTCTGGGCTCGGCTCGACTCTTGAAACGGGGAGCCAAGCCAGAGCTTCAGCTTCAGATTCAGCTCTGACGCTCTGGTGCTGCGCTGCGCTGCGCTGCGCTGCTCTGCTGGTTGGGAGAGCTTTCTTGATTGCAGCAGAGTGTTATTTCTAATGCCGTCCCGCCCCCTCCCATTGCTCTTCGACGAATGTACATACATATGTATAATCGTCGACGCTGCGCTTGTGTAATCTTTACGTCGTCTTTGTATGGCAGCGATTTGGTTTTTTTTAATGTTTTGCTGTTATTTTTCTTTTTCAGTTTCGTGCTTTTTTTTCTCTCTCTGTTTTGCTCATAACAATTTGCGAATTCCAAAGGCACGCTCGCAAGAGCCGGAGACCAGGTGAAAATCACTAAGCAATGCAGCGAATCACCTGTTGGCTCTCCACTCCACTCTCCTCCGCTCTCGCGACTCCCCTATCGACTGCTGGCATTCACTAAGTTTCATTCACCTTTCGGGCCAAAGCAGACAACAAAAACTTACTGTTTTTTTGGTATTTTCGTATTTTTTAATTTTTTGTACATAATGCAATGCACTTTGTACGCACACGGAGCGGAAATGCCATTCCTCTGTGTGAACCTGACCCCAAAAGTGGAAGAATTAACAAGATTTCTATCGCATAGCAGCAGCTGGAAAGCATACAAACATATCTAGAATGACATAAAGCTGGGACAAACGTCGAAGCAAACGCATTCGCTTTCGATCAAGTGGACGTATCACTTTCCTCTGCCAGAGACCTGTACTACCAGTTTTCTCCAAGAACTCCAAGCGGTGTGACCCATATAACGGCGACGTTGGTGTTGACGTCAGCGCCGCGCCGGTTGGCGTAAGCGAGAGGGAGAGCGAAGCAAAGCGAGTTGCGGCTTTTAAGTGGGTGGCAAAGTAAAGAACCAAATTTTTTGTGGAGACCGAGAGAGCGCAAGTGATGGAGAGTTCGAAAAGAAAGCGAAAAAAGAAATTTCAATGCAGCGAAGCGTAGAATGGAGAACGTACATTGGAGTACACACACAAACACACATATTCTGTTTGCTGCTCACCTACTTCTGGGCCGCGGCGTTTGTCGGAAAGTGTGTCACTGAGAAGAAACCGAGCGGCAACAGCAGCAGAGGGACAGAGAGAGAAAGAGAGCAAGCAGTGACTGAAGCAGAAGAGAGCCAAAGCAGCAACATTCTTGGCTTTTCTGACTTTCTGTGTCTCTTCCATGCGAACAAAGTGCAGTGCCGTAGTCTGCTTGGGTATGCGATCTCCTGATCTAACCCCCCATTCATGCTGCATTCTTGACTACGCATCTGCCCGACAAAGGCTGCACTGCTTATTGTACTTGTAAATTTCCATGCCATCCGCTTTCGACTTTGCTGGGCGCCCTGCTTGACTTCTAATTATAAATGCATATTTATGCTGCCTGTTAGTCGCTTCTACTAGTTTTAGTTGCTGCTGCCTCGAAGAGTTATTGCTGCTGCCACTATCTAACGCCGCATAAGTTCATCTGGATCTCAAGTGCACTCTGTGCACTGCGTTTTTCTCATGCGCAGAATCAATTAAAAGAGATGGAAAATAAACCTCAAGACGGCAGAACTTGTTGTGGGAAAAATCTCCGAAAACCTGCATAAAAATCGTGATTTTCCATTTTTTATTTGTGGTTTTTAGTCTGTCTAACAGCAGCAACAGCAGCAACTACAACAGCTATGAAAATGTTTTCTTTGCTTATTTTTTATGTTTTTGCTTATGCATTTTTTTGTCGGTGGGAAGTTTGCACTGCCCGTCTGTCTTTATTTGCCTTTATGTGTGTTTGTGTGTGTGTGTGTGTGTGGAGTAGGTGTGGGCCAAACAGGTTGGGTGCCTCGTTGTCTTTAGCCCGGCCAACTGTGCCCAGGTTGAATATATATACCCGGTACTTTTAGATCACAAGGGTATATGGTATTAAAAACGGAACTTGGATCTGTAAGTACAAAAATACACAGAAAATAAAAAAACTTAGGCTTACATATTTCAGTCTATTTAACGATCCACATATAAATCATCTTGAACGAGCTGTTATTACGGCCGAAGTACTGAAAGTAAGATTTTATTTCCGTATTTTATTTCCACTTTTATTCTTTAGCCCAAAAATTTCAAAATATCACTTTTAATTGTTAAGCGATTTTTAGAGCATTTATTCAAAAATTTATAACCATCGAGCACTGAAATGGATTATTTTTTGGCAGGTATCTAATTGTCGTAATGTGTCCTATGGTTTCCTACTTCTTTCCTCGCTGTTTTGGTCTGTTTTGTCGGAGATGATGATTTATAGCTGAACTTGTCTTCTGGCAAACGGGCAAAATTTAAAATTACTTGAGAGCGAGATCGAGTCACACCATTACGACGACAATGACAACGAGCCCAACAAAAACTGGCGCATATGGGAGCCATTCTCCTTAGCGCCATATGCACACATGGCAGATGCCAAATGGTAAAATGGCCAAATGAGCCGCTGGCCTCCGATTAGACCGCTGGGAAATTTATTAACCTGTTCCGGTGCGATGAAGGCCCAGAGTCAGCCCATCGAGATTAGCGCGGCCACGCTTTGGGCCATGTTCTTGGTTTCAGTTACAGTTTCCAGCTCCCCCAGCTCATGTCATGTCCGAACATATCATTAGCTTTTCTTATCAGCCTGATTTATGATCGATTGCTTGTGGTGAATAAGGCTTTCCAGACAAATCCACGTGCAGCCCATTGGGGATCGTGTATCCCCTATGCAAATGACTCTCCAACTTTATCTTCCTTTTGTCAATAAGAGAGAACTTTGACTGGCTGACGTAATTGAGCGCCATTTGCCATCGAAAGCCATAAAAGCATGCGTACATATAAATTTCCGTGGAAAATTGTTATTGCTCCACAAATCTCAATGCAATTTCGGTTTCAAGCTGCGCTCGGGCGACATTTCCTACAATTTTCCCATCATTTTCCTCACAGGCAATTAGCCTGAATGTGCAGGAGCCGAGAGTCTCCCATCAAACGTGAATATTTTTGCCATATTTTCCAATTAGCAAGCGATTTTTCCTTTTATTTGTAATTAAACTATTTACAACTAAGCATCGTCTCAGCGGGATAACCATTGGTAATGGCTTCCTCCACTGTAGCGTTTTTTCCACCCCTCTTTGTGGGTAATTGCTTCGAAAGGAAATCATTGGAACGTATGGGAATAACGTATGGGAATTTCTGACGCAGCGAAAAGGACGCTGTGCAAAAAAAACACGTCAAGATTTAGAAAAACTTGTTCAAGTGCAATTATTTATATTAATATATTTAATTTTTATAAATCTATTCATTGAAGCATACCACAACCTTCAATAGTATCCACCACTGCGAAAATGGTGTTCAAAATACTTGCTAAAAGTGCGTTTGGATCAGCAAAAGGGGCGACATTTGTATAATGCACAAAGGAAACGCGGACAGGACAGAGAAGAACCAAACCGAGCACAGATGAGCATAGCGAATGCGGAGCAGGATAAATGTTGCGTGGCAGGCCCCGTGGCGACATTGCGAAATGTATGCTGGCATTCCGCATAAAATTCCTTGGCGTTTCGCTTTTGAAATGTTACAGCTACAGCCAAAGGAGGGGCATATCGGGACACTGTAGCGAAAGGACTGCCTGCATGTCATTCGAGTTGTCTGCCTGGGTCGCGGGTGCCCCACAAAGCCAGGTCTAAGAAGGAGACTAGGGCCAAGGCGCTGGGAGGCAAGTGTCCTGCATTTGACTAATGCGCGCCCAGCCAGCTGACAATTTTCCATTCGAAATGAGAAATAGTTGGACTCACATTTGCAGGATGTGGGCGCAGGAGTGAGAATGCAAATCACACATATGTATGGAATATCCCGGGGGCGTATGTTTCCTTCTAATGAACCTCAACACCGCATTCATCATACGCACTGTCCTTCTGCAATGAGAGTAAATTGTGTTTCATTTATAGCGGTCTCCTCTGGCATTTTCTTGAAGGTTCTAAAGTGTTTTAGCTTGTGTCCTACATTCGTGACGTCTTTAAAGGAGCCTTCTTCCATCCTCACATTTCATAAAACTAGCCTAGAAGAAAGATAAGTTAAGGCAAGTCTGAGCCAAGAACGGTCTCTTGGCTTCTACCAAAATGCAGCACGGCCATGGCCACTTGTTACATCCTGGCTGACAGCAGCCACCAGCAAGGACCCTGCTACACGACACCACCAGCACCATCACACAGCCATTCAGTTCGTGTTGAATTGCAAACTCACCACACATTGTCGTCATCGGCAGCGGCAATGGCATACTCCCCTCCATGTTGTTGTCGTGTGGGTGGTTTTGGTTGATAAGGGCTCACCACCACCACAACAACAACGGCAAAAACGAAGGAAAGCAGCGACGGCTCGCTCATATAAGAGCCACGGTTCCAACGGATGCGAATTCAAAAGTTAACCGACATTCGATCTGTCAACGTGCAGCAGTCGAAGGAGCAGCCGCAGCAGCAATTATACTTGGCCGCGGAATATTTAGATATTTGATATATCTCGTGTTTTCCGTACATTGAAGTGCATTCAAGTTTCAGCTAATTCTTTTATCGTTTCAAAAAATTACTTCGCGATTTGTGTGCTTTTAAAATAGAATGTAAGTTGTGCCTATGGATTGAAAGACAAGACGCTTTCGAATTTGAATTTTGTATTTTTAAGACAAATTTTAATCAACTGTGAAACCCTTTTTTTAAGATTTAAAAATGTATTTAAATGTGACTATATTTGATTCCCATTTAAGAACAAATATTTTCCAGTTTCATGCAATTTTTCACCTGTGCCTTTAAAGTTTTGCAACATATTCTTAAATCGATCAAGATTTTAATCTTTGATTAAATCTGCAGCACTGAATATTACTGCGCAAAGTCTGTACAAATCACCATAAGAATCTTTTAGGGAATCACTGAACTTTGCTATACTCTCGACTGACAGAATATATTGGGGAAAATATTTAAACAATTACAAAATGTTAGCATTTTCTTATGCAAGGAGCCAACATTAACGATTATTTTGTTTTTCAATTATTTAAATATTATTTCTGTTAAAAAGGATAAAAAGACAAATAACTTTAAAGGGCACAACAATGATCTAATATCCAGAAATTTGATCGAAATTAATGTTTAGTATCTGTTGGATACAAACGCAATGAAAATATTTATCAAGTCACGTCTCTCAAAATGTCATTGATGCTCAAACGAATTCCTTGACTTATTTGAAAATACCCCAAAGCCCAAACCATAATGTGGCCCCAAAAAGTATGCAAGAGAAATGAAATGCAATTTGTATCCGCCAGAGATCCAAGAAAAAGCCTCAAATTCAATTCGGCTCAATTTCAATCGCTTGGCACCAAGAAAAAACCCAATTTGATTATATATAATGCTGGAGGCAACAATTGACATATGGCCCGAGAATCAACAGCAAAAACATTACAGGCAGGGCTGGCGAAAGCGTTAGAAATCACATCGCAACAAGACAAAAGACAAGCCCCAATCAAATTGTAATTAAATAAATAACAGCAGAAGAAAAAACAAAGCAGGGAGTCCAGAAGAAAAATATAAATCCCACACACCCACATGAAAGAAGATAGAAAAAAGCCCAAAAGCCATGCCTAAAATGTTGAATAAACAAATCAAGAGACAATTGTTGATTGATGTGAGGGCAAGTTTTGGCATGGCCGGAGATGATACATATGTGCCCAAGGGGCAGAACCCATGCTTGCTTGCAAGATAAATACATGTAAAATGGGCGCAGAACACATTGTGAAATTAAAGAAAAACAAGGAAATGGTTGGGTCAACGCTCAGCCAGAAACTGAGATAAAAATGGGGCAGAGGCACCATGAGGTGCTCGGTTTTTATTAGCCGCTCGTTGGCTCGCCTAACTGCCATAAATTGATGCAAAGAAGTTAGCCACTTCATTACCTGAGCGTAACTTAATTAGAAGGCTCAGAGGGGAGCTGCCCCTTGGCGGTTCTTTGAATTTAAAAAGAATACATGTACAATATTGGGAGCGTTTCAATTGCAAACAGTTAATCTTCTTTTTTGTTACTTTCATGAGCTCCACCTTTGGCCTTAGATCCACCTGCGGCTGGCTGAAGTAAAGGGAAGATCTTCCCTGTGCCTGTCGTAATTTGCCACATCAGCCAAAATTGCTTTGTACTCTGGTAGCAAATTTTCTTATATCCTTTGGCTTTTGTTTTCTGCTAATCTTCTAATCTCCCCTATAGACGGGAAAGTTTTCAAACCTAATTATGGCAGGGCAAGGCAGCGCCTTGGCCACTCCTTTGAATTTCCGTTGCATTTTGTATGGCGGTCAAACCTAATCGCCGCTGCGGATATGAGAAAAAGCTCGTGCCGCGGCTATGGTCATAGCCAAAGGCACGGGCCGGATCCGAAAGAGTTATTGCTGAAAGCGTAAATTCATAAACAGATAATCTTTGAATCTCATTTGGGTGCAAGGGTAGGGTAGAAGCGGCGAACAAACAAGATTTTATTGCAGACACGGAAATAATAGTGAAAGGTGATGACACATTTCGCAGAAGTTGCTTTCTCTCCACAGATTTACGATTGGTTTTGCAAAACTCAGTACGACATCGTTGTCATTGTCGTCGCCGTGTTGCGGTTGATAAAGTCTAACAAATGTGACGATTTTCCGCCTATTATCTTGTGGCTGTTGCTGGTCTCTCTGGCCATAGCCATCGCTTTTATTGTCCTGCGTGGAAAATGCACAGCTGCCGCTGCCGCTGCCTGCCATGCCAGTGCCATTGTAAATCATACACGGAGGTTGCGGGTCTGGGGTTCACATTGGAGCAGATGTGGTTGTCGCTTCTGGCGTTGGCTTCGTCTGTGGTGGATATTGTTGAACCTGTTGCATGATTTGTAGTTCTAGCTCTAGCTGTTGCACATGCACCCTACAAATTTATGACAGCCGGCGCGGCGCGACGCTACGTTGAGTGTGCGTCATTATTTGGATGAGCAGACAGTGAAAGAGACAGAGTCCCTGTGCGTAGGCTTCAATTAATTGCAGACCCTTGTTTGCATATCATTATGTGCGACAGCGAGCCATCAATTGGCATTGAAAACTAATCCTCACTTGCCATTAAGTCAAGTCAGCGAGCAAGGAGCAGCAACAGAAGCTTTGAATAGTGACTCCAGCCTTTGGCCTAATGGAAAATGTCCTAGGCTCCAGCCAACTTCATTTGCCTAACCAAACAACAAGCGGCGGCTGGAGGCAGTCGGAGATGATGGGGATTTTAGCAACACTTTTCCGCGGCTTGTACGTGACTTTTGTCCGGGCGGAAGTGCAGCCAAAGCAATGCAAATAGCGAATCCGATCTGAATGAGGGAACATCTTTCAGTTGTTGCCTTCTTGTGTGCACTCTCCATTCATGGGCCCTGACAGTGCAAGATACGAGTGAAAGTACGAGAATGCTCGTATTGACAGCACCACAAATGTTGATGGCCCTCCTACGGAGACTGACAGCTATTTCGCTAATGGAATACTGTGGAGAAGTTTTAAGCCAACTAAAGGTACATTCTTCAACGACTGTCGCAGCTTAAATTTTGGGTAATTGTAGCAGCTAATTGTGGCAGGAATTAAGCTACTCAGCAAACGTTGAAGGACAGTCTTAGTAGAGAGGGTAAAGGGGGGACGGACTTTCGTTTCACGGATCAAATTTAACTTTTACGAGCGAAGCACTTGGATGGTGGAGTGCCCTGCAAGGCCAGCAGAAAATTTGTCTGCTGCAGTTCAGGTGGCCAAAGACCTTCCGCTTGACCGAGACAGGCAGACACAGACTCACACAGAGAGATGAAAAAAGTTTTGGTCACATTTTTGAGCGTTCTCCAGCCAATATTTTTCATTGGTCTCTGTTTTTTTTTTGGTGTTGCTGTTTGCTGTCAACGAGGCGACATTTGTTGCCGTTGACATATATTCTCTGTGCGAGTCGGTATATGTGCGGAATTCCTGGTCGATTCTTTGTTTTGCATAAGTATTTGTAAGCGATAACGAACCCTCCATATGGCATGTCCTGTGTCAGCCGCAACATAGTCTGACAGTACAAGAACGGAGGGGAAATAATGCTTAAAATTCTATTCGTTGTTTGCTCACTTTGTCTCCCCCGTTTCAGCAGTCAGACGTGTGCCCGTGCTCCGTGCCCACAGCATCACAATGAACACGCTCAATGCGCATCTCCTGCTGCTGGCCCTGTGCTGCGTCGGCTATATTGCCTGCTCGCCGGTCATAGGCCAGGAGCAGCGCAGTCAAGTCTCTGGCGAGGGCGATGTCGACGGCCTGCTCGGCGCCGACGAGATGGCCGATAATGGCGCAGACATTGATAAGCGGGTAGAACGATATGCCTTTGGATTGGGCCGTCGGGCTTATATGTACAACAACGGCGGACCGGGCATGAAGCGGCTGCCAGTCTATAACTTTGGGCTGGGCAAGAGGTCGCGTCCGTACTCCTTTGGACTGGGAAAGCGCAGCGACTACGACTATGATCAGGACAACGAGATTGACTACCGAGTGCCGCCAGCGAACTACATGGGAGTGGAGCGTGCGGGTAAGTGAATCTTTTCCCCAGATCAAATATGACCCTTAATTGGTTAGCTCTCCGCCTTGCAGTCCGACCTGGCAGACAGAACAAGCGAACGACGCGTCCGCAGCCCTTCAACTTTGGTCTCGGGCGGCGTTAAATCAAATCGCGGAGGAGGTCGCCTCAAATGGCACACTAAACCAGATCCAGCCGTGTGCCAATTGAGACAAAAACCTACTTAACTATCAATTCAAGTATTTGCAAAAGGCTATAGGACTCTTGTATTGTAAAACTTCTCCAAGAACTAATCTAAATGTCTTTGAATCAAACTGCACGCCCTTCGTCCCACAAAATATCTAAAATAAAGCATACCGATAAACATTATGATTTCCACATTAGTTATTAACTCCAGACGTTCAACGGCGGCAAATGTTTAGCTTAAAGAGCAATATAAAATTGCAAAAAAAAACCAAAAAAAATAAGAAAAGATGAGAAGGGTCAAACGATGAGAATGAAACCGTGGCGTGTGCAATTATCAAGGAAGAAATACATTGAATGTTATACGAATACAAATAGTACATAATATACATATAGATATATGCATATTCAATCCAATTTACAGTACACATTTTAATGGGGCATTAGCTAATATACACACACAGATATATACTTATGTATGGACATATACTTGGGGCACTCTCTCGAGTCGGCGAGTGGCATTGGCTGCATTCAAAATTGAGGCGCATAGACGGACAAACTTGAATATTGGGATTATACACAAATAGCAAACTAATATTGGATGTATCAAAGTGATTATTAATTTAACTATACTATATATACATACATGCATACAATATATGTAATTGTTTTGTGCATACATGCATCTATTCCTAAATAAACAGCACAGCAGCATGGTGCAAGCAAAACACGTAGTTCGCTAATTCTCATTTCTCAAATTTATTTCCTACACTCGTTCTGCATCTGGACTCAATAAAAACAATAAACCTAAGCTTAGCTCTTAAATACATAAGTTACAATCTTCGCTGACTTTTTCCATACGTAGCTAGTCAGATATAAATATGTATTATACAGTAAGAAGTAATGTGTCTCTTTAAACGTAACTTATTCTACATTTATGTTAAGGTTGGGCAAACACTCGACATAGTAAACAATTTCAGTCAACATTTAAGGGACTAACAAAAAACGTTTCAAACATTTAACATTTAGCGTAGGGTTAGAACTAGAATATATCAATTTTCAGCTTGCACAGAATGGTATCGAAGGCAAACACGGACGAAATGAAAGTGTACGGACTGTTGCGTATGATGCCAAAGTCCGGTTCAAGACTGGGTAGAGCGCGGGGCGAGAAAGTTTGCAACTGCTGCGAAGGATGGCGTACGTTCGTGATGGGAGGATGCTTCCGAGCATTCTGCTTCATTTTCTCCTTGCGGGCCACGAGCTTCTTCGTCTCGCGCACCATGTAAATGGCCTCCGTGTTGGTCATGTAGTCGTGAATGATCTGCAGAGTAAAGATTATGATTTAAGGTACAACAAAATGGGCAATGTTAGGGATACAACTCACCTTTCGCTTCTTGGGGCAGTGGGCAAACACCCAGATGAGTGTGCAAAGGGTGTTGAATATCTCGCTGTCTTTATCGCACCAGCGCAACAGCATCTGGGCAATGGTCACCAGGCCGCCCTCCTGGAATGTGTTGACCGTGGTGCTGTTGTAGCGAGCCAGATTGAGAATGATGCGACTGCAGCGTTCGATCAGCTGCTTGTCCACCTCCGAGCGTATGGCCTGGGCCATAATGCCATAGCAAAATGTGGACATGAACTCCGAGCACCACATGAGCAGATGTGGCACAGTGCGCGACAGACGATCTGTGGAGAGTGCAGCAGGCAGGCGGATTAGTTTAGTGCATCGAATCAAAGTTAGAGGTACTCACCCAATCGATTTAGCACTGCGAGGGCATCGCTGGCAATAAAGCGACCGCGCAGGAATCCAACTGCCTCCTGCACCTTGGTGCGCACCGAGTTGGCAGCCTTCGCCTCATGACGCAGCTGCACAATGCGCTTTCGCATGGCCAACAGACCCTGATGACGCTGGCGACGACGCGTTTGATACCCACGCCAGTAGCGCTGTATAACCTTGGCCGCCCGCTTCTGGCGTATGAGATGCTTCATCTCTGGAGTCATCAGAGCCTGGAAACGCTTGCGGGCCAAGTAGCCAAGTGAATGCGTCTGGAAATTGGAAACGGAACGACGCAGCAGTAGGAAATGCTCGCGTTGCTTTATCATCAGGCGCTTGCCGCGGAACTTTTGCTGCAGATGTATGGTGATCTGTCGTAGCTGGACAAAATCGTGGCGTACTTCGTGCATAATGCGTGTGGCTCTGAACTTCCGCTGTAGGCGAATGGTAATCGACTGAAGGAGCTTAAACTCCAAGCGCACTTTGAGCATGGACTGAAGGGCACGGAACCGACGCTGTAGAACCAAAGCTGCCTCACGCTGCTTCTGGTACTCTTGACGTTCCTTTCGCATCTGCAGAGTGGCTCGGATAAAGTGCTGCAAGAGTCGAATCTTCTGGATGGTCTTTAGGAAGATCTCACGCTGGAAACGGGCAGCAACGGTCGCTCGCCACTTGCGTTGGATGGTCATCGAACTAGCGCGCATTCTGCGATAGCCTTGGCGCAGTTGAATCATCTCTTGGAGACTGCGCCACCACCTTTGAATGCGAATGACTGCTTGGCGTTGCTTTTGGAAGTGTGAACGCTGCATCCTCATCTGTAGTTTACCGCGGTAACGTTGCTGGGCTTTAATTATGACATCACGATTCTTGTGGTACAGAGTCAGCTGCTTCAGCATTTCGCTCCTGGCTCGATAGCGCCGCTGAATCACGATTGCTGCATTCCTGAGCTGCCTGTAGCTGTCCCTTTGCCTAATCATTGCCAATCGGGCTCTGTAATGCCGCTGCAGTGTGATGGCTGCCTGACGCAGTGCTAGAAAACGACTTCTCTCTCGCTGTCTCAAGAGATGCGCCCGCCAGTGCATCTGCAGGCAGTTCACGGCAGCCTGGGTGCCTCGATACTTGGCCCTCATGAAGCGCATGGCCTTATCGGCATGGAACCTTCGCTGCATGCTGATGGTGACCCCACGCAAACGAAGGAAGTGCTGTCGCTGCTCCCGCATCTGAAGCGTTGCTCTGCGACGCTTTTGAACCACTAGCACAGCTTTCTTCAGTTGAAGGTACTTCTGTCTTTGGATTAGCATTAGGCGCTTCGCACGGAATTTAATTTGGACGTAACGGGTGCTTGCTTTGAGCTGCAAGTACTTGGAACGCTCTTGACGCATCTGCAAAGTGGCGCGCCAGCGTTGTTGGACATTAACGATGCAGCGACGGGTCGCCAAAAACGAATTTCGATCCTTGATCATATCCAGGCGCAAGCGGAAATGATGTTGAATAATAACAGCAGCAATGCGCTCTCTCCGATAGACTTCTCTCTGCTTACGCATCTCCCAAGTGGCACGAATGCGTTGCTGAATGACAATGGCACTTTTCTTGATGGCCTGGAAGCTGTCACGGGCTTGTCTCATCTGAAGTGTGGCCCTTCTGTGTGTCTGCAGCTTAAGAGCACAAATACGAAGTTGCTGGAAGTGGGTCCGCTCCTTCCTCATCAGGACCGTGGCACGCCAGCGCTGCTGTATGATTTGGGTGGCTTTCTTGAGCTCTAGGAACTCCTGGCGCTGCTTTTGCATTAACCATTTTCCTTTCATTCGACGCTGCACAAAGATAATGAGCTGCCGCTGGCGCATGTACTCTCGCCGCTGGCTCCTGCCCAGGCAATAGCTGCGCCACATCATCTGAATATGGCTGGCCGCAGCTTGTTGCTTTTGCGAGCGTTGAAGACGAGCTGTGGCGGCAGCCACTAGAAGTTTTTTGGCAAACAGACGACGGCGCCAAATGCGCTGCAAGAAAATTGTAGACTGACGCAACTCCAGGAACCGCTGGCGACAATGCCGAGCCAGCAAATGGGCCCGCCACCATCGCTGGATGACGATTATGCTGTGGTAGCTCTGGTAGAGTTGCTTTTGGGCCAGAAAACGTCGCGTGTACTTCTGCAGGATGATGGTGGCCTGAAGTCGCTCCTCCTTGTAGAGCTTGGCGTACTTTCGCATCTGGTGACCGCGGAAGACCGCCTGTATGACAGTGGCTGCCCGATGGCGACGCATCAACTCCTTGTGGCGTATGCGGCGCTGGATGACAACGCCCAGCCAACGACGATGCCACCATTTCTGGAGCACCATGGCAGCCGCATGGAACTTGGGCGAGCGGAACTTGTAGATGATCTGCCAGAGCAGCGAAAGCGTCTTCTCGCGATGACCGTCCACGATATCCGCGGCGGAGATTTCACCGCCCAGCTGGAAGTCTGCCGCATTCAAAGCGTTCAGAGCCAACTTGACATTAAAGACTCGCTGAAGCCGCGATATGGCAGGCACTCTCAACTGACGGGTCAGATCGTCGCGCAGCAGAATGACCTCCATGACGCGGGTTAGCCGGACGCCGTCTCGCAGATCTATCGCCAGATTGTTAAAGGCATAGTCGAACTCGTCGAGGAAGGTCTGCTTGTGCTGGAGCACATAGCCCAGGCGGCGCAACTCGCGCGTGATGTCTCCAACGTTGGCCAGCAGCTCCGAGGAGAATCGCAGCAATATGTCCTTGGTTTCTTTGTGGGGGGACTTCTTAACAAAGAGGCAGGGATTATGCTTGACGATGCGCTTTTGTTTGGCCTGGTCCAGGAAGAGCAGCAGGAACAGAATCTTTTGCAGCGTGTGCTTCTTGATGGTCTCCGCGTACTCATCGGTGAGGGTGAAGGCCTTGCTGTACTTCTGCTCCTCGAACTTGTTCCTGAACAGCCGATTGAGAATAAAGTGGCTCAAGCCCACAATATCTCTGTTTGAGTGCATCTGAATCTTTTCGCCAAACACCACCTCGAGACCCAGTCGCAGCCACAAGGGATTAAAGCAGAGCAGCAGCTCCAGGATAGTTCTCTGCATGACCACGTCCAGGTGCAGATTGCGATCACTGCGTATACGCAAAGCTTGCTTGTTGACATAGACGGCCACCTTGGAGCAGGGCAGACGCATTTGCTCGCTGAAGAATAGCTCCACAGCTGCCCGACGCAGTGTTTCCAGACGAAACGTGGTCAGATAGTTCATGGACTGCTCCTCCTTGCTGGGCGCCATGACCAGCTCTTTGTTGCGCACCTCATTGAACAGCTTTCCCACATCGATTTTGCTGTTCGAGTCCGCATCCAGATCAGCGGGTATGGAAACCAAGGCGTTCAGCCATTTCTTAAAGTCCGCCTGGTGCCGCTCCACCGCCTGCTCATCCAAGTACATGGTGCAGGCCAGAAAGGGATCTGCAGTGGTTGTGGCTGCAAACGGATCCGGATTGATGTACGTCTGCATGTAGAGCTCCGAGTCATAGAGCTTTACGGGAGCTGCTTCCCTAGCCTTGCGCTTTGGTGTCTTCATAAGCGACATTGTTTGAGCCAGCTTAAACTTCTTGGGCTGTGTTTGCGTCCACGTGCTGCCACTTCTGGCGGAGGCATTGGCTGGTGCTGCACTTCGGAGCAAGGAGATGTCGTCAACGCGCTGTTTCTTCGGCGGTGAGATGGCCATCGTGGTCTCTTGGCGATAAAGAGACTCGTTGCTGGGCGAATCCGAGAAACTTAGCTCATGGGAGCGTCGCTTTTGGGTGTTATCAGTGTTCATCTCCTTCACAGGGCTGCCCTTGCGCGATTTGCGGCCCACTTCATGGAGATTGAATCGACTCGACTGGGCCAGAATCTCGTTGTGATTAAAGAGATAGTCTTGCGGGCACATAAAGCTCGCTTCGCTGCCAATGGAGTTGTCCAGCAACGTGCGGTCTACATGCTTGACATTCATTTGCGGCGGCTGCTGCTCCTGGAAGTACCGATTCTGTTCGATCGAACGTATCTGCATCTCATTGAGATTCGGCATCGAGCCTTGTATGGCAATCTTTGTTTGCGGCGAGAGCAGCGACAGATCCTTCATGGACTCTGAATATTTTCGCAGTGGCGAACCAACCAGTTTGATATCCCTCTTCAAGTCTTGAACGGGGCCCTTAGCTTCCGCCTTCGTGGGGCTGGAAGCCTCCTCCTCGCGGATGCATTCCAGGGCTCTGGGGTGCGTTGCATGGACAATGGTTGTGGTTTTATTTTGAATAGTTGGCGTTTGTAGCAGGATTTCGGAGCGTGAGCAGTCCAACGTGTCCAATGATATGTTTATGGTCTCTGAATGCCTCACATCAAAGGTTTTGTTGGTGGGTGGTTGATCTTCAAACTCGTCAGGGACGAGCCGACGGGGTCGCAAGTCGCCGACAGTCGGTTTGGCATCTGTGAGCAGGTTAGGTGTCGGCCAGGCAGCCAGATTCTCTGGCATAATGTCAGCGCCAGTGCCGCGTGTTTCAGTGAGCGGTGTGAACTTAAATGTATCTAATATGTTGAACAAATTTGCAGGAGTCATGGGACTAACGTTCTCCTTGCACGAGCGTGGCTGTGGTGAGACATAAGCAGACTCCTCCTGCGGCTTGTAAACATTTTTCTCCATCAGCGGTGCATGCTGGGCCGCTGAGGATGCCCGAACAGTACGCGAGCCGCTGCACGAGCGCCAGGGCTGCTTGGACGGAGCCGCTGCTACGGAATGACGCTTTTTCTGCTGCGCAACAGCTGCTGCCGCACTTTTTGTTTTCTTCGACCCGCCGCCCGTCGGCGATTTCAGATGCAGCGTCTTGCCCACGGTGGGAAATTTGCGCGCGTTCTTCAGGTAGGCGAGACATAAGGGAAGAAGCAGAAGCAGAAGCAGAGAAGGGTGAGTGGCGGGGTTGGTGTGAGGCTTAAAGGGCTTACCTTGACCGGCTGGTTGCTCTTGGACTTGAGTATGATCATGACGTCCTTTCGAAAATTTCTATTGTCCAGCAAATGCAGCGTCTCCTTGCAGGCCACCTCCATTTCGGGGCTCCAGACCAGCTCCATGGAGACCTCGTCGCGAGCGGGAATTACATGCTCCATCCATTCGACGGTCAGGTTGTGCTCCTCCCTGATGCCCTTCGTTACTTTGACCTAGAAGCCGTGAGGGTGATTAGCATTGATCAAATACATGTTGCCAGGCAGCCGAGCCGCCGACTGATCTATATCGGCGACCAACTAACCTCAATGTCGTCGTCGCTGGGGTTGATGACGCGCACGAAGCGCCTGGCTGTTTTGGTTACGGGCACGTCCTCAAACTGCACAATCGCTTTGGCCGAAAACGGAGCCATGACCACCAAGGCTGGCTCGCGACCTTCGATGTGCTTCTTTTGCTTCAGCCGCGACGGCGTCACTGTGACCTGCAAAATACATGCATCCTCAAATGTAGAAATGCAAATCTTTGTTGGATCGCAGGCACCACTAACCTCGAAGGCACTCATCGCGAATACCGGCACACCGAATATAACACTTGCAGAAAACAGCGATGAACAAAAACGTCAATCTGAATTAACAGCCAAGTGCCATGAACACAGCTGCACTTAACACAATTAACAAAACACGACCAACAACAATTAGAGCTGAAATCAAAATCTAGTGTCGAAAAAATGCCGCCGTTGCCATTTTGAAAGTTGTCAACAGTGTGACCGCTGAATTATCCATCAGATATACTGTCCTTCAGAAATATACCGAGAAAATATATACATTCTACATATTAACTACATATTTGTGTAAGCACCAACAGAGACACCTGACGAGGAAATGTGTACGTTTCACAACAAGTTTCGCAATGAAAATATTTTTCTGTTTTGATATTCTGCTTAACATTACTAACAAGCTAGAGCTCACAACTCTGAAACTATAACTTTATCCGATTGATGAACAAATTTTCCACTAGAGTGGCTAGCTCTAACGCATTTTTTTTTATTTATTTGTTCTCAAATGAGGTGCAGACTAAAAAGGGCTTAAGCGAATATGAAACATTGCACATGTTAGCGTTATTTGTGAGTGGCAGAGCGCGCATTTCAAACTTTACTGAATCGCCACGAACAACAGCAAGTACGCCACGAGAAAGGGTCACTTAAAATAAGTTTTATTTATAGTTTATTTACAAATATCAACAAAAAAAAAACATACATTCCACTCAGCAATGCTCAATCTGTTTACAGAAGCCTGCTGGGAGGCAAAATGTGTGTTCGCGGTAGATGGTCGCTGCCCGTTTCGGAGGAGTACATGTTCTTGAGGTATCCCGGAAAGGGTGTGACCGCATCGAACTCCTCCCCACCAGTGTCGTCTGGGGGATCGACGGCCATGAAGGAGATGGCAAAGCCACGCAGAGAGTTGCTCTCATCCGTCTGGAAGCGCAGCAGCAACGTATCCGAGTTGGAGACAATAATGGGAGGCTTGTGTTTGCCACAGAAGCGGCCGTGGATGGTGTTCATGGAGTAGCCCTCCTCGGTGATCTCCAGGAAGTCGTAGTCACAGCGCTCCGAGTACTCGATCTCAAAGTTCAGAAACTTAATCTTCACACTGCTCTCGGGATCCGACTGAATCCGCCAATCGCAGTACATGTTGCGCTTGTAGGGTCTGCTTCCGTAGCGGGGATGCGAGTAGAAGGTCTGCGAGTGATTCGTGGCCCTCAAGTAGCCACCGCACTCGGACACAAAGGTGGCCTTGAAGCCCTTCCTCTGGAGCCCCGCATCTGTGGCCAACACCATGAACATCTCGTTGGTGGAGGCGATCACCGCATATGGTTCTCGTCCACCGCAGTAGATGCCCAGCGTGGAGCTGTTCTCCGAGCGACCGTCATAGATGGCCACATAATCGTAGATGCACTCCTGATGGCTCTCCACGGCAAAGTCGTGGAAGGTCAGCTGGATGCGGTGGCCCAGGACGGTCTGGAAGTGCCAGTAGCAGTATATGTTGCGCGGATAATCATCCGGATAGTTGGGGCTCTGCAGCATGCCGTACGAGGTGGTGATCTCGAACTTGCACCTCGTCTCCGTGCAGTTGTGGCCGTTGTCGGACAGCGTGTAGCCGTTCCGACAGCTGCACTGATAGGAGCCATAGGTATTTCTACACCGGTGCTGGCATCCTCCATTATTAACAGCACACTCATCCACATCTGTGGGAAGGATAATTTAGGGTTACTGAGGAATTCCCTAGATTTTGTTGATCCAAACTCACCTACGACAAACTTGGCCACAAAGCCGCTGCGCTGCACCGTGCGATCCGAGTAGAATTCCAGACGCAGCACACTCTGCTCCGAGTTAACGAACGGAGGCAGCTCATTGCCGCAGTAGATTCCGATCTTCTTCAGACGATTGTCCCGCATCTTGGAGTAGATGATGAGATAATCGTAGTTGCATTTGGTGTACTGGAATCGGGTGCCCTCCAGGTCAAAGTGGGTAAAGTTGAGGAAGACAGCGTGATTGGGTGGGGCCACCACTTCCCACACGCACTGCTTGGCATTGGGATAGACGTCCGGATACGAGGGTGAGTAGAGGGTGCCATTCGATTTGGTGGCATCCACAATGCCGCCACACGCATTCTCGCAGGTCTTGCCATTGGCCTGGAGTTCGAAGCCAGCATGGCAGCCGCACTGATAGCTGCCCATGGTGTTGATGCAGACATGCTGGCAGCCGTGGTCCGTGAACTTGCACTCGTCCACGTCCAGCATGAGGGCGGCGGAGAAGCCCAGCCTCTGCACCGATCCATCCGACACGAACTTGATGTACATCTGATTGGTGCGGGTTCTATGGGAATAAAGAGAAGCCACTTGGTAGGGATATGTCCAGGATATGGCCAAGCTTTACTCACTTAATGTTGGGTGGCAGTTTGTCGCCACAGAAGCGTCCAATCAGCCGGGAGTCACTCCGATTGCCATCCCGTATCTCCACATAATCATAGACACAACCATCGTGTTTCTCCAGCTCAAAGCTCTGAAACTTGAGCCCCACCTGGTGGTGGATGGGTGCATTGATGAGCCAAACGCACTCCTTATCGGGTTTGTACTGCATCGGGTAGGTGGGCGAGTCGATGGACTGATCCTTACTCAGCTGAATTACTCCTCCACATACCACTGGGAAAGTTAAAGTTGACTTAGATGGCTCCAAAATTGGATGATTATGCTCGAACTCACCTTCAAATCGGGCCTTGAATCCGCGATATCCTTTGGCCGCATTGCGGTTCACATAATTGATTAGCATGCGACTGGTTTGGGTGGTGATAATCTCCCCACTGGCATTGCCACAGAGACGCCGCACCAGCGGCGATCGATGCCAGTAGCCGTCCCGGATTTCTAGGTAGTCCTCGGAACAGTTATCGGAGAGCTGCAGCTGGAGCTGCTGCAGATGGAGAATGACCTTCTCGCCATTGGTGGCCGTGATGCGCCACTCGCAGCTGGTGAGCGAGGCATCAAAGGAACCATCGTCACCCGGCTCTGGTTCCGCATCGCCGCTGCCCTCGAACTCGCTGAGTACCCCATTGCCCGAGTACACGTAGTGTGGGCTGATTATGTGGCCAGAATTCTCTTGGTAGGTGCGTCCACAGGCCGCACACTTGTAGAGCAGATTGGCCTGGACAATGTCGCCACGGCTAAGCCGACGTCGCTGGCCCAGCTCGATGTGGGTGCCCGGGGGAATGCCTATGGGGGTGATCGTGTCCAGGTAGGAGCTCTTTGAGAACGAGTTCGTGGCATAGTGCATGATGGAATTGTAGTCGTAGGGCAGCAGCGGATGGTCCACCTCCTCCGGTGACAGCACATCGAAGTTATACTCCTGGCCACGCATGATGTTGGCCTTATTGATGATGATGTGCTTGTCCCGGTCGCCGCGGGCATGCTCGTGATGGAAGCCAATGGTGTGGCCCAGCTCGTGGATGATGATGCCAAACTTTTCGCAGTTTCGACCAATTGAAATGGGCTGGCGACCATTGCCATTCTTGCCCAGAAAGGAGCAGCAACTGATGGGGGAGGAAAAAACTTAAGACAATATACTTTCAGAGGCGATTAGGTCGAGGCTTACCCGCAATTTTTGACCGTAAAGAAAATGTAGTTGTCATGCAGCTTGGCATCGCGCTCCACGAACTTGATGCAGGTGAAGTTCTCCCAGTGTCGCATGGCCTGCTTGAACAGCGCCTTGTGGGCGCCACTGAAGATGCCATCGATCTCGTACGGAATCACGCCGTAGTCCCATGTCCGCTCCCGGCGCACCGTCACGCCACGTCTGTGCCTCCCCCTTCCTGTTCCCGTTCCCGTTCTCGTCTCAGTTTCAGTTTCAGTTTCAATTTCAGTTTCTGCTTCAGCTTCAGCCAGAGGTCGAGTGTAAGGAGAGGCGGGCTGCAGCACATCCGTGGAGGCATCGGTCCAGAGCAGTGGCGGGGGTAATCTCAGCAGGGCTTTGCCTCGCGATTTATGATGCTGCTTCCGGCGCTGCAGGCGGCTGGGGTGGATGGGATGGGATGAGAAGCTTATGAGCTCAGGTATTGCTAGCGTTCACAGTGTGGCGAAGCATCTCAAGTGCCGTCCACCTCAGGCAACGTCAAGTGGCCAGACTAATTGTGCGCCATTGTGCCGAACTAATCCCACTTGGGGCATCTGGCTGCTTGGTCGGAAGACTTACCCCATCGCTGGCCGGGCTCTGCTGCTCTCCGCTAGGTTTATGCGATTCCTGGGCTGAGTCCTCTCTTTGTGCGCCTCGGGCACCTGTTGTATAAATCACACTGAATTCCCAGACGCTGAACCACGTGACCGCACTCACCTGCACGGCATCTAGCATGCCATAGAAGTCCTCCGGCTTTTCCTTGAAATCAAAGTCACATTCGTTCTCTGATTGCTGATCCAAATGCCGGCACTGGGCCAGCTCTAGCATCGAAGTCACGGCCAAGGCTGCCACAACCAAAATAATAAATTCCATTCTCATTCTTTTGGCATGGGGCATGGCGCACATTCTTTGACCCTTGAGGAATTTTTCTGAGGATCGTTGACTCTTTCACTCGTTCTCCTTGAATTCGTTTTCGGACAACCGACTCTGGCCAGCTCAAAGTTCTAACTAAATACTGAAAGCAATGATGGTCGAATTTTATTTCTCAGACACGGCCGCGCGCTCCACGGATTAGGCAGGTAAGAGCAAGAGAGAAAGAATATCCATTGAGAGCGAGAAAGAGAGGCAGCAAAACGCGATCCCAATCGGTCCTGATCTGACGTCGTCATCGACAACAACCACTGACCACTACATGCAGAGACGAGGCTCGACGACCGTTCGTGCTTTAAGCAGAACCTGAAGAGGCAGCTAAGGAGTCCGAGTACGAGGCAACAGAAACTCCTCCGCATCGGCAATTCAAGCGGTCCATTGTCTGCCTGTTTTCTTGATTGTTAGCATTCAATGGGTTTTGATTTGGGTATCCCTACACCTTGACATTGTCTCGCTCTTGCTCTTGCTCTTGTCCTCTCCCGTTCCCTCCTTCGTCTGTGGCTCTTTTCCATCTGCCTACCTGTGGCCGGCCGGCTTTGGCTATGGATCAGGTGTTGTGTGTGTCGTCGGGCCTTTTAGGGCAGGTCATTAATGAGACGATCATAAATCCCTCTCATGAACGAAACTTTTCTCGGTAATTCCACCAATAAATGCTATTCAATCTGCATGGCGCCCCCTAAGGCAACGACAAGGTGGAAACGCAGCCATAAAATGTTTATATCTACATCTACATACATGGGTTGAGGATCATCAACGGCTCTGTTCGAAATCTTCTTCTTTAGGAGAGTGAAAACGCGCTTTAATATTGGTTTTAAAACATATTTACTATTATTATATTATACGAATTTATAATATTAATATGTATAGTATGTATAAAGATTTAATTACGTATTAAATTGAGTCAACTATCAGAGAGTTGTACATATGCATTTATGTATTATGTGTAAAGTTCTCTAAGCCCCTGCAGAAACAAGATGATACGAGTGTGTGTAAGTACAACGAAATAAAGCCACCGAATCGAAACACTAAACATCGTCGAGCTGCATTAGGAATACATGTTTTAAATCTATCTACAAGGGCCTCCACACACATTCGGTGCTGTCTGTGTGTGTGTTTCTAGCCTAACTTCCATTTGGACTTTGATATGGGACATCCATTAAACCTATGCTAAGATGCCAATCAGAGCTGCCTGCCTGAGCTAAGGTAAAGAAAATGCCCTAAAGTCTAGACTACCAAGTATGGCACAATATAAAGATTACAGAAGATATCGAAATAGAAGAAAATGCTTTAAAAATGGCAACTAGTAAAATGCAAAACGAGAGCTGCACATTCAGAGTAAATAAACTGAAGAATCGATTCTCAATTTAGTTGGAGCAACATCCATCCAGCGATGTTCAAGTAACGTAGATAAGTTCGACTTAATTTCTTATTATAGGTTTCAATATTTTGCACTTGACTGCGATATGCCTGGCATGCTAGAACCTAACCTGTTTGGATTACCTAAAACTAACACTGTGTATGTGGGTCGTGATTATGCTTCGTGGGGGGGGGGAGACGGACAAAGAGAAAGGAAGATCTAAGGAATCTTGCTTTATGTACGCGACGATATGCCTAAATGTTGTTAAATAAATTCCGTTTTTAATATATTGTCATGAACTTTAGCGCGTCGAGTGCGTGCCAGTGCTCGCCTAGGTGGGGAAGGGATAGTACCGAGTGGGCAGACTGTAGCGACCACGGCCATTGAGTACCACCAACGAATTGCCACTCAAGTCACCGTACTCGTCAGTCTCCTCGGTGTCCTCGATGTAGATGGATTTGAGGGAGCCAGGAAATGGGGTGACCATCTCGGAGCTGTACGAGTTCTCCACATCCTCGTCGCTGTTGTCAAACGGATCGACGGCCACATACGAGGCAGAGAAACCTTTCATGGGCACCGAACTGTCCGTCTTGAAGCGCACCAGCAGCGAGTTTGTCATGGAGATGATGTCCTGGGGCTGCTATCAAATAAAGATTCATTGGATATTTAAAAATATTGCATTAGATTGAACGTCTTGGACTTACCACACTGCCACAGTACTGTCCGTACATGGGTCCGCTGGTGTCCTCCATGTTCGAGAAGACCTGCACATAGTCGTAGGTGCAGTTCTCGCTGCTCTCAATGTCAAAGGTGAGGAAGATCAGCTGCACATTGCTGTTGGGCGGCGCCTCAATGGTCCACTCACAGTCCATGTTGTCATCGTAGTCCTGATTGCCAAATCGGGCATGGGAGTAGAACTGCTGGACATGGTTGCTGGCACGCAGAAAGCCTCCACAAGCTGCAAAGGAGACAAAGGATGGGTTGATCCTTTAAGGAGATACCCTTGTGATCTTACAGGTTGAGTGAAGGGCCATGAATCCATTCAGCTGCTTGTTCTTGTCAGTCTTGAGGACCATGTACATCTGGTTGGTGGTGGATGAGATGGGGAAGGGTATCTTGTCGCCGCAGAAGCGTCCCAGCACCGAGCTTGCCTCCGACTCGCCATCGTAGATGGCCACGTTGTCGTAGGTGCATTCCTGTCGTAGCGAGGGACTCCAATTAGCGGGTGGCTCTCTCCCTTGGCAGATATGCGACACTCACCTGATGGGACTCAATGTTGAACTCGTTGAATATCAGCTTGATGCGATGCCCCGGCGTGGTTATAAAGTGCCACACACAGTCCGCGTTGGGGGGATACGAGTCCGGATAGTTGGGGCTGTAGATGGTGCCGAAGGAGGCGGATATCTCGTACTTGCACTCCCCCTCCTTGCAGTCGTGTCCGTTCTCGTGCAGCGAGTATCCGTTGTGGCAGAGGCACATGTAGGAGCCAATGGTGTTCCGGCACTCGTGCTGGCACCCGCCATTGTTCACGGCACACTCGTCGATGTCCGTGAAGAACACGGCAGCAAAGCCGGACCGCTGAATGGACTTGTCCGAATGGAACTCCACGCGCAGTGCATTGCTGTCGGAGGTGGCCGTTGGTGGGATGGCACTGCCGCAGTAGGTGCCAATGCGCTTCAGGCGATTCTCGGTGAGCTTGGAGTAGATAGTCACCGAATCGTATCCGCAGTCTGACTGCTGGGCCGCTGTGCCCTCCAGGTCGAAATGGGTAAAGTTCAGCGAGATTTTGTGCTTTGGCGGCGCCACTATCTCCCAGATGCACTCCTTCAGTATGGGATACATTTCGGGGAACGAGGGCGAGTTGATGGTTCCGTTCGGATAGTCGATGACACCGCCGCAGGCATCTGGAATGAAGAGAGCGGAATGCAGATAAGCTCATTAGAGGCACAAACCGATGACAATGGCTGTCCGGGACCCACCTTCGCAGTGCTTCTTGTCGCTGTGCAGCTCGAAACCGATGTGGCAGCCGCACTCGTAGCCTCCCAGCGTGTTGATGCACTCGTGCTCGCATCCATGGTTCTGTGTCTCGCACTCGTCCACCTCCTTCATGAACACGGCCGAGAAGCCCGCCTTCTGCACCGATGTGTCCGACACGAATTTCACGTACATCGAATTGCCACTTGACCTGAAAGCGAAGCCGAACAAAGCAAAGTTGGTTTCAATGGAACAGCGATGGAGCTGGGCTTAATGGTGGGTGAAGTGAGGAATAGGAAGTACGGAGTAGGGGTGGATGAACGAGGGCACTTACTTCATGTTTGGCGGTGGCTTGTAGCCGCAGAAAACGCCAATTACTTGCGAATCTTGTGAAGGACCATCGCGTACCTCGACATAGTCATAGATACAGCTGTCATGGTTCTCCACCTCGAACGATTGGAATTTCAGCGCCACTTGATAGCCCTTGGGCACGGTGATATTCCACACGCATTCCTTGTTCGGCAGATAGTCCAGCGGATAGTTGGGCGACTCCAGCCGCCCCTCGGCATCGTCCACCGACAACTCGCCGCCGCACACAACTAGAGCAACGTCAGTGTCATCAGTTTGGTCAGTGTGAACTCGATTAGCCTCTTCTTTTTCTTCCCTACTCACCATCGAACTCCGCCTTGAAGCCGCGATAGCCCTCGCTGCGGTGGGAGTTGACGTAGGTGAGGAGCATGCGACTGGAAACGGTGCGAATTTCATCCTTGGCCACCTTGCCGCAGAAGCGACCGATGAGTGGGGACTTGACATAGTAGCCATCTCGTATCTCCAAGTAGTCCGTTTCGCAGTTGTTCGACTTGAAGATGTTCTAAGAGAAAGACAATAGAAATATACGTAGTTTCCCCCACTTATGTTGGACGCAAGAATTATCCCACCATATTCTCCAGATTGAGGACAACACGTTCTCCATGCGTGGCTGTTATCCGCCACTCGCAGTGCTCCGTCTCGTTGGTCAGTGCTCCAGCGGTGTAGTAGGAGGGCGTGGCAAAGATCCCTGTGCTCTCCTGGAAGGTGCGACCGCATTTGGGACACCTGTAGAGCAGATTTGCCTGGGAAATGTCTCCCAGGCTGAGGCGCAGCCGCTGACCGATCTCGGGCCGCTTGCGACCCTTCATCTCGATGGGCAGAATGGTGTCCAGATAGGTGCCCTTCGAGAAGGTGTTTCGGGCATAGTGCATAATGGAATCATAGTCATAGGCCATGCCCAGCGAGTCCACTTCATCCGGTGATAGCATATTGAAATTGTAGTCCTGGCCCTTCATTATATTGTTGTGTTCGATCACCACATGCTTCTCCCTGTCGGGGCGAGTGTGCTCGTGCCAGAAGCCCACCACATGACCCAGTTCGTGCACCACAATGCCAAACTTGTCGCAGTTTCTACCAATCGAGATGGCCTGAGCGCCATTGCCGCGTTTACCCACAAACGAGCAGCAGCTGCAAAACCATGAAACGATTACCTAAGCCATGTCTCCTTGAGGAATGGAGTCCCGAAACTCACCCGCAGCTGCGCACCGTAAACACAATATAGTTGGGATGTATCTCCGGGTTGCGTTCCACAAACTTGATGCACGTGGAGTTCTCCCAGTGTCGCATGGCCTGCTTGAAGAGTGCCTTGTGCAGGCCGCTGAAGTTGCCATCGATCTCATAGGGGATGACGCCGTAGTCCCAGATGCGCTCCTTTTTGGCTGTGACAGCA